GACCTGTGAAAATGACTGTTTTCGTTTTTGCAACGTTTTCAGATGCATCATCAACACTCGCTCTAAGCTCTCCGCCATAATACAGCTTATTTATTATTTATCGGAAAAGACCAAGCAGTCGCCACTTTGTGAACACTTTGAGAAAATGCCTACAACCAATCCCACCAACCTACCGCTTGTCACCCTCACCACCCTCCTCACCACCACCGCCATCATCGTTCTGAGCACTCAAATAACCGCCAGCCATGGCAGCCCAACCTCTCATGGCATTGTGCCACTGCATCTCTTCGTGCCCAGCGAGCGTCTCCAGCAGACGGTGCACACTACAATGCCCAGCCATCTGACGGAAAGTCAAATGGAGGCAGAAATGCTGCACGTCCTTGGGCTGCAGAGCAAGCCGAAGCCTCGCACAGCGAGAAGCGGTAATGCCATTTGGGCGCCACTTTAAATTGCCTGCAATTTCAACTTTTAATATAATGTACTTACACTTTATGTTTTTTGTACAGTTCGCGAGCAGTCCTCCGCCACCAAGTACAGTCTGGAGCTGTACAACAGTCTGCACGACAAAGTGTACGGCAGCATTCGAGATGGCTTTGTCGTTGATGAGCTCGATGAGCGGGAGCTCGAGGCGGAAATTGACGTCCTCCTCGCCTCCAACGACACCAATGGCATCGGTCCCCTTCACCGAGGAGACATCACCTCGGGTGATCCTCAGGCGGCGAGAAGAGCCACTTTGAGAGACGTCGTCAAGGCGGACTTGATTATCAGCTTCAAAAACTTTAGTAAGTTTGCATTCACTTGGAGTGATGATGGATGACAAATTAACATTTTCCATGAACTAGTCCGAAAGCAGCGCAAAAACGCCCACCTTCGTCACAACCGTGAACGTCGTTTTTGGTTCGCCATCAATGATCTGCCCAAGTCCAAGACACAGTCGGTGATTGATGCGGAGCTTCGCGTTTACCGAGACCAGCCGCGATCCTGGCTCAACAGTAGCTACGATCTCCAGTTGACGCTCTTTCAAGTGGTCCCCGTCAAGTCGTGAGTCATTTCTGAGCTTCTTTTTTCTCAAACATTCTAATACTTTTTCCCTTCAGTGACGTTCGTCTGCAGTACGTCGACCGAATCAGCATTACCGGCGACAAGAGCGGCTGGCTGCGCTTCAATGTGACCAGCGCCTTCAAAGACTGGACAGAGCGACCAAAACAAAACATGGGACTGTACCTGCAGATCAGAAATCCAACCTTCTGTAAGCGTTTGAACCCCTTTTCAAAAGTTTTGCCCTTTTTTGCTCATCCGTTTGTATCATTCTTTTGCAGCAAAAGACCTCTCTCCAAAGATGGTGGGCATCATCAACCACTACCGCGGCTTCAAGCAGTACCAGCCCTTTTTGACGGCGTACATCAGCTCTCCAAATGACGGCTTTACGCCACCTCTCTTCACCTCATTCTCATCCTCCTCCTCCTCGCCGCCACTGCCCACCGACAGTAACGTCAATCTGACTGAAATCTACTCCGAGTCAGGACAATCCAGTCGAAGCAAGCGTGCCGCCGCTCATGATGCGAGCAGTCGAAAGAGCGCCAAACGAAGCTCCGACTTCAAGTACTACAATCCCGATACGGAGAACCCATTTCTGCGTAAGTGTTTTATAACACAAAATTGACATCTGTTTTCACCATGTTTTCCTTGCTGTTAATCACCAGAATCGCTGGACAAGTCTGCCGACAGTAATGACCAGGGCTGCCGAAAAGCCCGACTGTACGTTGACTTTAAGGATCTCAGCTGGAGTGTAAGTGTGCCAGTGTCCGACATGACATGCCTACTGTTGTAGTACATTCATTCATTCTCTCATTTGCCAACATTTCCCAGGATTGGATCATTGCACCTGAAGGCTATGCCGCCTACGTCTGTCGCGGACACTGCAATTTTCCCATTCCTTCGCATCTCTCGCCGACGAATCATGCCATTCTCCAGAATCTGATGCACCTAATGGACGGGCACACCATTCCAAAGCCGTGTTGTGCCCCCAAAGAGCTGTCGCCCATTATGGTGCTCTACTTTGATGACGACAGCAATGTGGTGATGAAGAAGTACAAAAACATGGTCGTCAAGAAGTGCAGCTGCTTTTAGTGCCTGAACAAGCCTGAAACTGTTTACCTACTCACATCTAAAGCCGTCGGACACTTAACTTCACCTCTTTTTTCTCAAATACTCATCTATCATCATGTTTTGTAAAAAAACTAAATAAATAAAACAAAGTTTTTCACTGATTACTTTTCAAACTAATGGCGTTTTTATAGACTTTTGTAATATAATTGGCTTATTTTTACTATAAAGTTTTTTGTGATTTTTTACCAACAATATTTTTATACAGTAAGTGGACAGGTCATCTGTTAAACGATTACAATATCTTTTTATCATAAAACAAGAACAAATTGGTTTATTTTATGTTGAATAGCCAATGATCCATTTTTTAGCAAAAAATATATTTAAATTGGCTCAAACCCCAGTGGCAAAGCCATTTGTAATAAATCTCTATTTTTTCTTTTTGTTCATTTTTCTATTCGCTTGTCTGACTAAATTACCAAATATTCCAAAGAGCTATATGACAAATGATTCATCGGCGATTTTTGTTCCCAAAACGTAAAAATATCCAGCAATTGTCTGTGCATGCAAATATTTTTGCTAAACTATTAATTTAAGGGCAGTCAAAAACGAAAATTTTTTGCGGTTTCTGCACTTGTCAGTTGTCCATTTGTCGTTTTATTTAGCAGAATAATATTTTTGCCATTTTTACATAATTTGAATTTATACTTTTTTGATATACAAAGCAGATGAATGGAAGTTATTTTTAGCATAAAACACTTTTCTAAATTCAATAATTTAAAAAACGAGTGTTTGGTGCTAAAAAATACTTAAATTGAGAATCCATTTGAAAAACAATATTGAATTTTTTTAAACTAACTGATTTTTAATTTTAAACACATTTAAACTTGAACACATTTTTCATGCATTACAGGTAGTTCATTAAGATAAAAGTTTTTAAAATTGTACTTTTTTATAAAACAAAGTTTAAAAAATAGTTTTAGTTTACCTTTATTACATTTATTCATTAGTGCTACAAAGCAAATAAAAATGGCATAAAATGCAGATGAACCTTTTTTACAAGAATAGCACAGTTCCTTTAATTGAGGTGAAAAAACGGGTAATTAAATTGGTGAAAGAGAGCAAGGTAAAGAATACTAATAGGATTCAAAAAATCTAACTTCACTAAAAAAATGATGTTTCTCCCTCTGCACTGACTT